AAGCTAACGGTCACCAGCGCATTAGCCAAAAATGCCCCAAGTCCCAAAATTGGCACGCAGCAGGCTAATCGCCGTTGTGCAAAAGACAACATATTTTTCGCTTCTGTTGACATCAAAGTAAATGCGCTTCCAGCGAGTCATGGGAGAGCAGGCACAGAGAGTCACACTTCAGGCATCAGTTCGGGGGTGAGGAGCTTAGTAAGCACAAGTACAGAGGCATTCCCACACAAACCTGGACTCAGCCAGGGATTCTGTCGCTCCTCTACACCTACGAACTTTCATCTTTTACGAGTGAAAGATTTTCTTTGCATTTGAGGATAGTAGACAATGCCTTTAGAAACCCTACGATGATTTAACTAATTATGCAAGTGCTGTCGCCTCGAAATGATCGGTTGTCAATGCAGCCCTGAAAACGCTGACGATTCAAAGAACATCGGATTCGATGTGATGACATGCGCAGGATCCTAGTTGGGTTGATCCCTCTCATTCTTCTTTCGCTCACCTAAGTTACAGCTTCGGGTCACGCGGACAGAAGGTAAGATCGGTCTCAGTGCCTCAAGGCCTTCGTCAAATAAATGCTACAAACCTGAACGGTACCTATCCGTCCATGGTGCAACAGCAGCAAAATTCTAAGAAAACGGGATGCCAGGTTAATTAGCTCAGCAAATTCGCAGACTTCGTGAACGGCGGTTGAGTGCGAGGAAAAAACGATGGTGCACAGTAATATGAGGTTGGCATAAAATACACGTCTATTCTTGTTTTTCTAACCATTAAGCTTTCTGTACAAAGGATGTTTTAGCCGTGGTATACTCCCCCGTAGAGGTAGGTCCAACTCTACTTACTTAATCTCACCGTTTATTCATTACTATTTCAAACTATCCAAAATGGGGAAAAAGCCGATTGGGGCAATTTTTAGATGCAAATTAGTACGAAATAGGTATGAGAATCACGCAAAATTTCTGAGAAACATTGATCGGTGAGACAGTTGGTGAGTTCATGGTTCAAATGATGATGATGATGATGATGATGATGATGATGAGGAGGAGGAGGAGGAGGAGGAGGAGGAGGAGGAGGACCAGCGATGCCTGTCTACTGTTGACTCTAATTAGTTTGAAACAATCACTAAAGTGAACCGGTGTAGAAGCATTCGAGAGGTAAAAGCTAAAAAGCTGATTAATAAACCCTCGTGAGGTGTAACTGGGTCAAGCAAACAGTCCGATGAGCTACGCACGAACCAAGTGAAATTTAAAACATTCGTCACATCTTCGACGAAATAAAAACTATGTGTTTCTTGATCGAGTTGCAACTGTGACAAAAAGTGGATCCTGTACGAAAACCGCAAACGCCACTCAAATGCTCGATAGTGGTAAATGGCCAAAACACTTCCCAAAAACAAGGTTGCATCAAAAAGACCAGAGTATTTTGCGGCCTACAGTCTGAATCAGCCAATACAGCTTCTGGAGCCCAAGTGGGAACAGCCTTGCGGGGAAACAGGGTTATAACGCATGGGAAAGTACATGATAAAAATCAGGTACTAGTCACTAAAAGAGACCGCATCTCTTTCCATAAGGAAGCTCGACTACAAGTTTCACAAAAGGTACCCAAGAACTAAGCGAGCCGCACAGCTGCGTCTCAGCCAACATACACATCAAACATTCCACCATGTGGCCTCTAGAAAGTTTTTTGGGAGAGAACAGCTTCAGCATGCAATTAGTGGGCGAAAAAGTCTTCAAAAAACTTTTTAGTTCTAAAACGCCAAAATCCTATCGTGAACAAATAAGTAGGCTTGCATTTCCTCAGCAAATGTGGATGTGCTAATGGCTTTTATTTAGATCAGAAAGTTTATTTTAGGCCGAATAATACAGTTTTAAATTCCACGGCTGAAACAAAATATCTATTTGCACCAACATAGGAGAAAAAGTATGTTGCCTGACAGCAGTTACTATTGAAGTGGCCTATTAAACCGCCTCCAACGACTTAATGTCGACCGTTCAGCTGACTGTAGAGGATTTGACGTGGGAGTCAATTTGAGATATTTCACTCTTTTGTGCTGCATACAAGTGACTTGGCTGGTCCTAATGAGTGAAATAAAGTGCAAAACGGGACTGGAACCAATGTACCGGGCCTGGATTTAACGCACCTTGAGGGCCTCCGTGATGTGCCGGTTGAAAATATCAGCCACAAATTCACGGATGACGCGGCACTTATCCCGTGGGAGATCGGCTTTGAACGCCTGCCGATCGAGCTGCTCGCCCCTGGGTACAAAGCGGGCCTCCTGGCGTTCCATAACTACCGTGCTGAAAGGAAGACAAAAATCAACTGAGTTCGGGTACTCCGTGGGGCTTTTCTTTGATGTTTGGACGGAGATGGCTGGGATCTGATATTAAATGTGTAGTTTCACGTCAAAGGGCAGATGGATATTATGCAATTGCCTTTCGCAATGTAGTGAAATGTCTTAAAGCAAGGAATACTCTCCCTGGAGTTAAGTCTGGGTTTCATGAAAGGATGTCATTACGATAAAATTAATAATGAGAACTCACGAACCAAATATTCACACGGGTATGAGAAATGGCAAGCAGCGATAACGTTATAAACATTAGCAGTTGAAAGAACGCCTGTCCTCAGGAAATAAACATTAAGGATTCTAATAACGAGTAGTTCATGCCACGGAAGACACGGCCCCACCAAGCAGTTAGTTAGAAAAGCAAGATTTAACGGTCGTCAAGAAAAACGTAATTACAATCTCTCTTGTTAGAGCCAGAATTTAGGGTGTTTTTAAACAGTCTGGAAAAGTGTGTAGATATCATAACGACGGCAAGCGTCGAAGCGAAGATCGTGCTTATCTTTAGTTGGCAGAGTCAAAGTGGTTCCAGTCACAATAAACTGGAACGATCAAATGTGCGATATAACTGCCAACGTACAGCAGGTGGCGTATCTCAGGAAAATTCACCGAAATTCTCAAATGTGCTTTCGATTAGAAAGGATTACTTAGACGGGGTTTTAACATTATCATGTAGCACAATCTCAACATGTTTCAGTCAGGTCAGGAAGTCAACTTTCGAATGCACTTCTTTTCGGCTGACTCTGAAAAGCATACATGGAAAAAAATGACTACTTAAATAGTGTGCACCTTACCCTGATTTTCGAGTCTCTTATAGAATATCCTTTCCTGAACACATTCGACAATGACTTGCGTCTGTAAATTCGATATTTGGGGAAAATGTATCTCCCAGTTCTAAGAAGTATTTCGTTTTCTGAACAAAGCTGAACCGGACCTTCTGTTGCACTTGCGTTTGGGTGGACAAGCCATAGACAGTGCACTTTCCGTGTAAAGAAAACCATTTCTTTCACATAGCGTCCCTAAAGGGACTCTACGGCAGTCTCACTTAGTTGGATCCGAATCGGTGGGGCAATACGCGTTTGAGTGTGAGTTTTCGAGGTGCCGACAAACTGTATCCTCTCCCACCTCCGGTCTCATCAACTCCGTCATGACACTGAGTCCGCGTCGGAGGTGAGGGAATGTGGCAGATGATGAGCAAGCCTACTGTTAATACAAACGGATTCGCGCGCAAGTCACCGTCCCTGCTCTCACCCTGCCCTGGAGCACACGATGAACATGGTTGGAAACTAACTGTCTTGATCTGCAGTATGATCTAGGCCTCAGACTTGGACATTTTTACGGACCTATATGCCAGGTAAGTGGCAAATACTCTAGCTCGGCTGACAATGTAAATGAGAACTTAGTAACGGACAACTACGTCAAAGGCATACGCTGGCATAAACAGATGGTTTTTACATCTCTGGCATAAATCATTAACTGTGTGTCTTTTCAAAAGCGGCGTTTCAACCTTCTCAAGCCTCTAACTGGTCGCGTGACCTCCCCTCTCCACCTCGCCGTGAGGACATTTGGACTTCACGTTCTTGCGTCATAGTGCTGAACTCTCGCAGCCACAGCGGGTGGCGTATCTCATAAAACCTTAACCGAAATTCTTAAACGCATCCCCGACTAGAAGGGATTACCCAGGTGGGATTTTAATATTGATTATCGTGCAGCATAGTCTCGAGATGTTTCAGTCAGGCTGGGACGCCAGCTTCCTCAATACGTGCCAACCTGGCCGCCTGCAAAAGTCCCACACGGTAGATATGACTACTTAAATAGCACGCATTTTTACAGACATTAAATAACTTTGTGTGTTTTATAGAGAACACACACGAAAATATCCCTACTTGTATTCATTGTGTGGTGAACTACGCAGCATTAGTAAGTAAACAGATAAGATGCAATTCAATAAACATTCCTCGCTGTTATAAAATCTCATAATGACTAAATTTTTTTAGCAGAAACGTAATTTTCTACAAAATGAGCGCAAGAAAGCATACTGTTGTGCATGTGGTCCAGGCTAACTCTGGTCGTTCTCACACTAAACAAAGTCGTGGTCCATAGTGGAGTCTGGCAGCCCTCTGGGACAGAGACAGCACTGCTCACCCCTGGAAGGGGGTCAGGGCTAGAAAAGGTGCCCTACACAAATGCTGGGGTCACGTCCTCAGCGCGCTGACCATGGCTCGAAGAAGCAAAACACGCGGTCCAAACAATCAAAAAACAACGATCTTTCTCTTCCTCCACCCCGTCGCCCCACCCCACAGGCTGGAAGGGTGAAGTCCGCTCAATCTGACAGCCTGGAATTTTCGCCCCCTTTTAGACAATCCCAGGAGGCAATCAACAGGAAGGGAAGGCGGCGTCAGTGGCTCGTGGACTGGCGCGCTACAAGGTGGATATCGATACCCGGTCCTCCGAACAAGACCAACTGGAGGTGGGTGTCAGTTAAATTTTATTTCGGAGCAGTCGCACCAAGGCATGCTGACGGGAGGCGGTGTCGCCTTTGCCATCGTGGGACGACTGCACTGTCTGCCACAGGGCGTCCATAACCGTCTGATGGGCCTCCGTCTGCCTCTTCGGGGAGGCAACTTCGCCACCATCATCAGCGTCAACGCTCCCCCCGATGACCAGCTCTGACGATTCAAGGAACAAATCCCACGAGGACCTGCGCGACCTCCTGGCGACTGTGCCGAAGGCGGATAAGTTGATTGTCCTTGATGACTTCAACGCCCGCGTTAACATAAACCATGTAATCTGGAGAGGAGTACGGGGTCACCACGGTGTCAACGGCTCCAGAGGCAATGGCTTGCTCCACCTAAGAACCTACGCAGAATACCGGATTACCCTTTTCCGCATACAGACGCGAGAGAAGGCCACCTGGATGCACCCTCGATCGCAACGCTGGGACCTGCTGGACTATGCGCTCGTCCAGCAGCGAGACCAGTAAGACGTGCCAGGACGATCTCAGGTGTAGACGGGTGGACCGACCATGCCCTCATCATTCCCAAGATCCGGATTCACCTACAGCCTTGCAGGCGACCTCAAGGTAAGCGACCCCGAGGAAATGTGATTATTGTTTTATTGTCTTTGCCAGCTCACCATCTCCATTACAGCAGTGAACTAACTCAAAGGATGGCCAATATTGTAGTCGCCGGAGCGGTCGCCGAGAGTGCCTCCGTGGAGAACCGATGGTGTCAACTGCGGGACACAGTACAGTCCACGGTCCTGTCTGTCCTCGGTCACGCACGACGCCAACACCAGGACTGGTTCGACGACGCCGCCATCAGCAACCTGCTCGCCGAGACGGACCGCCTACGCAAAGCCTGCGTCACCCGCCCCACAGACGACAACAAACCATAGTCGCTGCCTTGTGCAACAGGCGCTACGGGAGATGCAGGACGCTTGGGCGACACGCAAGGTCGAGGAGATCCAAGGTAACGCGGATCGCAACGAATGGAAGAATTTATTCTCCCCGACCAAAGCTGTCTACTGTCCGACATCCAAAGCAATCGCTTTTCTTCTCAGCGCTGACGGCAGTGTCCTTTTCCCTGGGAAGACACTAAGTCTTCAGAGATGGGTCGGGCACTTCAGAACCGTCCTCAACCGCCCCTTCACCATCTCCTAGGCCCGTCTGCCTCAAGTGTAGACCAACGCCCACCTCGACCTCCCGCCCTCTGTCTACGAAACCGTCAGGGCAGTGCAACCGCTCTCCAGTGGTAACGCGTCCGGACTGGACGCGATCCCTGCTGAGAACTAAAGTACGGTGGCCGCCAAACTCATGGATCACCTAACGGCACTCTTCCAGTAAACACGGCATCAAGGAGAAGTCCCCGAGGATTCCAAAGACGCCATAATCGCCTATCTCTATAAGCTGAAAAGCAATCGCCAGCTCTGCGACAACAATCGAGGCATATCCTTGATGAACACCGCCGGGAAGAGCTTCGCTCGCAATTTCCTTAGCCGCCTGAACAACCACCTGGAACAGGGTATCCTGCCGGAATGCCGGTGCGACTTCCGTCGTCATCGTGGGACCAAGGACATGATCATCGCCGCCCGCCAACTGCAGGAGAAGTGTCAGGAAATGCAGACCCACCTCTAGTCTACCTTCGTGGATCTGACGAGGGCGTCTCGACTCCGTCTCCATGCATCTCCTCTGCTGTATGTGTGATCCGAGTCTGAGACTATTACGGTGCGTCAGTTATCGTGGCCTAAAAGACTGCTGACTGACGCCTCAATGCATTCCACGCAGTCTGTCCAGTTGTGTGAGTGTATGTGTGGAGTGGCAGACTGGTGGGCTGAGAGCCAGGTTGAAGCGACTCCTTCTTAATGTAACCTACGGCACTCTCACGTATGAGAGATTTACGCTGCCAGCCCCCGTTCTGTGAAATGCTTGTGCTTGATTTTGGGGGGCCAGGTCGTGCATTTGGCGCGCGCAGACGAGGTCACTATATATGTCAGCCACCACGCCCATTCATCGCACCTGCCAACTGACCGACTCGGACAGTGACTGGGATCAGGGAATGGGAAGGAAGAGTGAGGTGAACGACTCAGTGCATTTTCCTCACTATAAAAAAGCTGATGCGTCTTAAGCTACCACGGTGCGCTAAAAGCGGTGGCTTGGAAGGTTGCCAACTGACGGGATAACTGGGACGTCGCAGCCAGCCCATATTGTGTGTTTGTGTGGAGAGGCCGGCTGGTGGTCTAAGAGTCAGGCCGGAATGGCTCCTTCTTAATGTTGTCTTTATGGCACTCCCACTCCGTGGGATCCCAGCCAGATGTGACGGCATGCCTAGGTGCGGCTCCAGACATGCCAACCACTTCTGTTGTTGTTGGCTAAAATCCTGGTCCTGCTGTGTGGACCAGAGGATGCGGGGTGGAGCGCCAAGGTGCGGGCTCGACCGCGCAATCCACATGCGCTCTTCCCCGCTTCGGGTCTTCTTGACTCTGTCTTGACACCGGGTCCAGGTGCGGGAGGAGAGAGTGCGGTAGATGTTGTACAAGTCTAGATTCACTATGAACTACATCACGCGCAAGTCAGTGCCTACTTCACCTTGCTGTAGAGGACACGGCCGGCATCGTCGGATGCGACGGTCGAACCGTGTTGTGCACGTTTCCTATAAATCACGTCCGGATTTATAAGGACGCAGAAAACCAAGGAAAGTATGCATGCTACTTAAGTAGTCATTTCGGCAAGTTTGATTTTTGCGGACGATGAGGAAAACACGATTTAGATGGCCTCCCTCCTACAACAACCTTACCTAGGAAATCCCTTCTAACCGAAACTGCATCATAGAATTTCGGCTAATGTTTCATGAATTACGTAATCTACGGCAAAAGGAAACCTAGTGCTGCTAACGTACTATATAGTCGAAAAACACTGCAATTTGCGTTGAGGAAGAGTTCCGGCATGCACAGTTTGCAGTAGCCAAAACCTGTAAAAACGGAAGGCGGAAACTCACGAAGAAGACCTCCTTGCGTGAGCCTTCGAGGCAAATTCGTCAACCCTGTCAGAGTTGATATGAGGAAAAGGGCGCTGGTGGAGGCGACAGTGAGCTTCAGTTGCTTCCTCCTGTAGGAAATTGGTAACCGGGTTGGCACCGTCGCATTCCTAGAACATGAAAAG